AGTTGTAATTCATCAAAGTTTATTTATTTACTTGAAAATAAAATCGATCAGGTAACACACTCATATTTGTTTGCTCCCAGCGAACCAAACAAACAAGAATAACCAATTAACAGTGTTACATTATATGATTAATATTGTCTGTAGTTGACTCGTGTAGTACACATTAAAATTAAACACTTTAAAAAATCGTTTGAAACCCCGAAATATATTAATTATCCTATTTTTAATTTATCTCGGGGGAGCACGGCTTGAGCATAGCATCGGGCCGAAGTTACAATAAATGAAGATAAGGTAACTAATATATTTCGCGTTAAAAACCGTTAAAAATGTTTGATTTTCCAAAATGTTATATTATTTAATTACAAACATGACATGTAAATGACGTGATAGACTCGGTACATATATATAATTGTGATGATATCAACAATTGTACTTAGCATCGCTTTCGTCAATCTAGCTAACAAGCCACAAAACCAGCGTAAACTTTCAAGATTATTTGGCCATTATCAGCGCCCATCTCTCCGTGACGACTTGTACATGACATTAACCTATTTAAAAGGAGGTAGTCTTTTTATATCGCTTTTTTATCTGATTTGAGAGCTCCCATCACAATGGACACCGTTGCGCGGCCATCTTTGAAGTTATCTTTAGCTTTTTAATATCGTGATTTTACCCGACTGTTAGGTACTTCACGTTGGTACACCTATATTGTCTGTAATTTTACTAATTTTTGTTAGTCTATATGTCTGTTATTGACACTAGTAATACATAAAACACGGGTTCTTATACGATGTCTATAGTTAACATGACGCGTATAAAAAACTATAAGTCGGTAGAATAGTTGTTTTGGAAACCTCTACATCTTTATAAATTTAACTTGCTCACGACATCGGTCGGGTCCCGTCCTTCTTGCGAGTTGCAAGACATATAATGCATATAGTGTCGCGGACATTTTTTCAGATCATTTAAAGAGATCATGTTCTTACATACATATTTTTTTGATGTCTTGAGCCGTTTTCGCAGCGTACTTATCTTCGCTTCTATTAGTCACAGCGCGATGTGTGATTTTGCCTATAGCCTTCCTCGATAAATGCTCTAACCAACACAAAAATAATTTTCCAATTCGAACCCGTAGTTCCTGAGATTAGCGCTTTCAAACAAACAAACTCTTCAGTTTTATATATGTATTAGTATAGATACTATTCCTCGGTTTACTTGTCTCAACAAACCAACCACAAGTATGGTAAATATATGTTGCAGTTTATTTTTATTTATTAATAGTAAAGGTTATTATATAATTTCGTTTACTTATAGAGTAGACTTAGATAGTTTATTTATAGTTTCGTTACTCAATTTGCTTCTAAATGTACCCACTAAATGTCAGTACAAACATGTTCGTAAGTTGCGTTAACAACCCCTAATAAAGTACATTGTATACATTGTTAGTTGGCTTTTATAAACGCTGTTAGGGATTAATAGCGGTAATTACATACGAATTAGCCATTATAAAACATTGTATTTAAGGTCTAAGATTCAAGGCCCAACAAAACGAGATATACGTACCTTGGATAGAGCCCTAAAAAGTAAAAACCGATTACTTGCATGAAAGTTAAATCTCATTATTATCGTGAAATATGTTTTCTCAAGCTATATGTTCCGTTTTTACATGTTCAGATTGAACGAAACAACACACACACGGTTTGAAATTAAAGACCACTGAATGTTATGTTGTATTAAACCATTTCCTTGAACTTAAGCAAAATAATTTAAACGAAGGTAGGATTGATCTTTTGCTTTAAGTTTACTGTTTCAAATGGGGTATTTTGTTATAAAAAATTGTGTTAATTTTATGAGTAAAATAAAGTCTCTACTTTCCTTAAGTACCTACTTAGGTATACATATATATAACAAACTCTTGTATACTCTTCTCTTATACTGGTATTTTGAATATGACTTCTTATAATACATACACTGTTTATTTTATGTATACACTTACATGGGTACCTACTTAACTATATCTGAAAATACCACACACATAAATAAGCTCTATACACCGTGAACTATGGAAGTTTTTAGTAGTACCAAGAAATACAGCACAATATGAAACCTAAGCGATTCTTCCTGTTGGTAATAAAACCCTCCAGTAACCCGACGATAGTCGATATGCGAGGTCGTTAAATATGCAAAAGCTCTGTTGGCCTAGGCTAAGGTAACCGATAACGGGCAGGAAGCACTATTAAAAACTATTCATTGTTTTGTCTTTGTCGTGCAAATGGCTTTTGGTGTTGGAAAGAGAGTGATGAAAGATTTGATCAGAAAAATTGAATCTATGTAGCGGCCAAATATATTAAATACGAATGATGGGGTTGCCCTCGTTTATTACCAATCGACTGGTTAGTTGGGTTAGAAGTGGGTTCCAATCCCGCCATAACAATTATTAGTTTTTGACAGACAGCTTTAATCAACTACGTTACTACTTTCAGTTACTTACTTAGCTGTAAATAAAATAAATCGTAAATGAATTTGATTATTATCGGTTAAAAATGCTTTTAATTTTACTTAAAGTACTTATTTTAAGTTAGACTCATCACGCTGCACCAATTCGGTTCGGTGGGCTTTTCGAGAACCTTTTGGTAATTGTAAAGCGATTAAAATTAAACCGGTTTAAACGCTTAATTTTAAATCACCGAAGCAGTACATTATTCAAATCGGCGTCTATTGTTAAAATTATCTGATCAAATTTCTCAGTCCCTAAAAGGCGAGTAACCGATCTGAGTTTGCTCAGTAATTCCGCTGTGTACATAACTCGAACTAATGGCGGGGAACTTGTGGATTTTACAGTTAAACGCTTTACAGATGATTTCGGGTTCATTATTTATGAGAGATAAACTTGTATATATATAACAGTTATTATATTCTACAGCCTCCTTACAAACAGATTTTATACACCTATAAATCGGCCTTCGATATCCCTATTGCAAAATTATAGCCAGCATCATAGCAAGTTATTTTCAGAAATACCTATTTATAATAAAATCCTTTTCACTGTTTAAAACGTGAAATATGTAAACTTAAGTATTATCTATGTTTTACGAGAGAAGTGCACATGTAAATAAAACACATTTTTACACACAGGTTTGAAGTGTGTAATGTTTTTAATTTGATTTCACCATCGCCTGACGTTTCACCTTATCTTATCCTTATCACCAGCAATCCATTCGAAACTTGGATATATTTAAATGTCTCGCGTAAAGTACAGACAATAGTCAATACTAATTTTATTTTTGAATGACATCCTAGATTCGGTAAAGGCAGGGTTACGTTTGTAAAATGCGCTGGCTGGTACTTGTTGAACCAATATCTGGTTTACGGACGTAAAAATATGTCTCGCTACGAAGGGAAGTGGGACATTTTTCTGGTATAATTAAAATGTCGTCACCATCAAAGGCCGCATTAATCTCTCGTAACACACTTTAATACATTAATCTCCGCTCATATCTCGGTATCAGATGATAACGTCATTATGAAAGCTCTTGAACGCTACTGTGCGGTTATCAGACGCCTTGTTAGACCACACGCCTCGTAACAAGATCTAACACGACCCACTTGTGAAATTGGTTATGATACTTGGAATTTAATATCTTCTGAATAATTTAAATTCCTTCAATAATTTGAAAAGCTAAATATCAAACTCTATGCAATCTCTACCTTTTAAAAATATTCTTCTCTTTTCGACTTACCTATATATATTATGTACCTACTTGTTATAATAATATATCTATCGCTCAACGTATAGAAGATGTCCCAGACGGATTAAAAAAAAGTGACTAATATGTCGGAGATACAGCGAGAAATGTAAAAAAATTTGGGATAATTATTCATTATTATGGGTTTCTTAGGCGTACGCTGCAAGAACGGTTCAAGAGATCCAGAAATATGTATGAAAGAAAGATTTCTCTTTAAACGATCTAAAACAAAATCCACGACGCTATATCTATCTTTTAAGATTAACTTGCAAGAACGACGGGAAGGGATGCGACCGACATCGCAGGTTGCAGCTTAAGTTTACAATGATGAAGGAGTTTGCAAAAACGAGTTTGGATTTGCAAAATGATGATACTCGCGGACGAAATCGCTGACACAGCTAGCTTTATTAAGTTTTAGCATGCTCCTGTCCTTTTCTCTGTCTCAAATTTGTCCTACTATATATACTAGTAAGTGTCGTACATTCTGTAATGACAATAACAGATATGAACATGATGTGAATATTTTGTGCCGTTAGCACAAAGAGAAATCCCTTTTGGGCGCATTTCAAACAAGTAAAAACTTAGATTTATCTGAAATTTCACGCTCAGTGAATCCATTAGCTGCCGGGCCATTATTTCGGAACGATATTTCTTTGAGTCTGTTTGTTTTTTTCACTTAAAGGGACCGATTTGTTCCGCAGTGCTGGTAAAACCACATTGTTGCGTTCAGAAGTCAAGTCTTGTTCCTAAAATCAGTTTTACTGGTGATTTCATTTCATGACGTTTTCGTCAGATTCGTCTGATTTTTTTGCATTGATAGAAACACCTTCTCTTAATATATAGATATACTTAAAGAAAATGTTTAATAAATAAGACTTTTTAAAATTATATAATAAGTTTATTGATTTCTAATACGCATTTCTATCTTTATTAAAATTCCCTTTTTATGTTTTATTATTACTATTGCTACGTTATATGTACGATAGTTTAAATCATAAGTTAATTATTTATGCTTAGACAGCTTGCAGGTTCCATGTTTTTTCAAATTCACTCTTGTCAAAGACGGGTTACACCTTAACAATTTACATTATAAATATTTATATCCTTAAATAAACTGTAGTTAATTTAAAGACATGTTCTAGTAAAAATCCTCTTTAATATTTTGAATGGGAGAGCAAACACTCATCCCTTGAAAGTGGTCATTCTTTGAGGATCTTCTATTGTTTTAGGTGATGCCACAACGCGTGTGAAACCATGGCCTGGAGTGCGCTGCTCATCTTATGGGTGGTCGCTGTTGTCGCCGTTGATAAACATGGTGAGTTTCAAAGATTTAATATTCCTTATAAATTTTGTGGGAAAATTACTTAAATAAAACACTTTTAACGGTTTGCAATGCGAAATGTATTAGTTAAATTAACTTCAATTTATTTTAATTATGACGCGACGTTTAGGACGCTCTGCTGCAGTCGTGACCACGACAAGTGTTTTATTTAGATGTTTTATAACAATTAATAATACTTTAATAAAAAATTACTTATCTATTTACATACAACGAAAATATGGTAGTTTGCACTCAATATTTGACAAGGCGATTCAATTTTAAACTGCACCACTTTGAACTGCAAAAAAATGTTTGTCTACTTAAGATAACTGCGGGCCCACTCGTAAAGTGTGAGGGTTCGTAAAAAATTAAGAGATATCGCTGAAATTTCACTAAGAGACTTGCCACCTAATCTCGAACGAGATAAGGCGAGCGGAGAATGAGATAACAATGCTCTCGAGAAGCGGAGAAAAAACTTTTTCACTTAGCATTCTTTATACGTGAATGATTTTCTATTATGAACGCTTCGTCAACTTAAATCTTAAATCGTAAATATAATGCTTTTGATATAGTTTTCATACAAATGCCATTAACGACGAAACAGATGGCGCTAGCGTAGCTGATTTAACTTTGACATTAGGTACAGCCTCCATCTTCAGTCGCCGATACCACGACTGTTTGAAAAGCAATCGAAACGCCGTTAACGGTTAAAACTAAATAAATCTAGTTAAAAAAATGTATAGTTTTAAACTAAGAATTGTCTTAAAAACTTAAAAGATTTAAGTAATAGACTAGTACAAATTCTACATATACATATTTGATTATTTGTAAATAGTAGTGTACAGATTAAACTTCGTAAAAACTTAACTGTAATTAAACAAAAACATGTTTAAATACTGTCTATAGTTTACGCGAGTAGTACACAATTAAATAAAACACTTTAACGTTTAAAAACGCGATATATGTTGTCTCCCCGTGACTACGGCTGCTGAAAGCATCCGAAACGTCGGGCCGAAGTTAAAAATCATTTTCAAATAAGCTTAACTAATATATATCGCGTTTTAAACCGTTAAAGTGTTTAATTTAAAAACATATTTAATACAAATCGGTTGCGTTAAATGATAATTAATATCTGTGCCTAACTAAAAAATAAATATTAAAAATAAAAAAAGCAGTAGATTAGATAGGTTGAAAAAAGTCTTAATCGTGACGAAGCGAGAGCCTCTTACACGACAAACCCATTTAACTTCTCTGTAGCATTTTTTACTCTCAACCACAAACCTTACTTTTAGAATTTTGTTCTAGATTCTTCTTGAGCTCTGTAAGATAAGCTGAAACTTTCACCTGCTGTTTGAGTTGGGATCAAATGTTGGAAAAATCCTAGTTTTAAAGCTAAGAAACAAAAGCCAAGCATTTGTTCTTTTTACATTTACTATTATGTGATGAAAAATACACACATACATGAGTACAATTAAATTTCATACTTATGCAAAACAACAGAAGTTAGGATATCTACCATCTACAAAATTCTGTAGGTGCTATACATATACCTACACCCAAACGTCGGGTCATATTTTAAACATACCTACACTTGAAACTTCACTTTTTAAATTTTTAGTTTTCTAGCTTGAATCCTTAACAGTGTTATTAAAAAATGCTGAAATTGAAACGTAATACAAATAAAACTTTTAATTGGTTTAAAAATTGTGCAAAGTAAAGTTCCACCTTTATATTTTTTATGAACTAGCTGATCTGGCAAACGTTTTTTGCCAGACAGATAGATGGTAGCCATATTTAGACAAAAATATGGCTACCATATAAATGGTTATTTTGAAATAATCCTGAGAGATAAACATATACTATCGTAGACATTTTTTTCAGATTACTTAAGAATAATTTAGTAACGGAAACGTTTAAAGAAGAATCATTTTATTACCTGAAGCTATTTTTGATAAATGGGCAATTTTTATAGTTTCTGATATTAGCGCGGTGAGACCAAACAGACTCTTTAACTTTATAATGTACTCTCGGACAGACTAAAAACATCGACGAAACACAGAGATACATTATCGCTTAAAGAGTACTTAGCGACAGACAGAATAAGACTGTTAACACCTCGGCTGCATGTAAAATTAAAACGACATTAGCTTTGAAACACGAAACTTAAACATTGCAGCTGCGACAGAGAAAATAATAGAATCGACCATTATAGGCGACAAAGGGATTATCTTGTTTGGGAACCTCTTGACGGGACTCAGCGCTCTTTGTGCGTATCGTGTTACGATTCTTGAAGGTCCATTCAAGTTTTTGTAGGTGTGGTTGCAAAGGGATTTCGACAATACACCCAGTATTGCCGACTTTGTCGGGCCGTTATTTTTCGTGTTCGACTTCCGTAAGACCTGCAAACGTCAAGTATATATTTAACGCGTGCTATTTAAATTCATTCAAACCTTTTGGACCGAATGAAATCACTTAACCGTTTAAAACGCGTTTCGAATGCTTAGTAAATAAGTTAACAATAATATTTCGCGTTCTTGTTGGAAAGAACATGTAAATATTAATTTTAATTTTTGTAAAATCTAGTTTTGTCTGGAAATCTAAATATTAAATGGGCAATATGTAACGAAAATTTCGTCCGTGTCACGAACCGCCGTCCATAGATGAAAAGGTCGTATTGTTTAATCGCGTTTCGGTTTCTGTCCGCAAAGCCAAAATAGGTCGACAGCGCAAATTCTAGGTGTTATATATTGCTGGCGGATTTCACCTTCTAACTAGTGAGCCCAATGGTTTTCTGTCGTCTCCTCTATCATAAAATTAATTAATTTCAGTACAATTTAATCAAACATGTATTACTAAATTACTTGTAAATTGTTGAGCAAGAAGTGCACGTAGCACGTGCAATAATAGTAATTTATGTCAATCTTCTTGAGATTAAAATCTAACAGCTTGGCTTGAAACAGCTTATCTTATTAAATTAATCGTCGAGTCACAAGATTGTTAGAAACGGTCCTATTTCGCAAAAATATCAGCTCAAATGCCCGTCTTACGAAATCTAAGGACTGACTCACGGAAAGGGACTGGACGATATTAGGTCAACAGTCTTTTAACCGACTTTGAAAAGAAATGGTAAAAATTAGTTGTTATGCTATCTGGAAAGATTTACAAAGAAGAGTTAGTTTTCATAATAGGCATTTTTTACGACAGATCAGGATAGGCAAGCTTGGGCTTCACATGGTGAAAAGTGAAATACTCTCTATAGTCACCATCTCAACCATTTTGGCTTTGGATGTTCGGGAATCTTTCGACTGAAATCGGAACGTGACTTTTCTGTCGAAGACGGTGGTTGCATCACAAGACGGAATTTGGGTTTTGTTACTATCAATTTAATATCTAGACTTGCTCACTAGACAATTAGTATTTGAGCACTAAATTAATATTGTCTGCAGTTTATGTAAGTAGTAAACATGTGACTAAAACTCTTTTAACGGTTCAAAACGCTAAATATATTAGTTAACTTATTTACAATGATTTTACCTAAGGATGGAACAGGTCACGGGAGAAAAACTCGCTAGTTTGACTAATTATAATAATAACTAAACTGTATAAGTGTTTTATTTCAATTCTTATATTAATTAACGAGCATGTAGAACATTACATGGCTCTTTGCTAAGCTTGGATAGGCTCGGGTTCAAATCCCGGAATTACTCATTACTAATTTCCCATATATATATTTAAATAAGGTCTACACAAGATACTAGTATAATATACTAGCTTTGTCCATTTGTATATATAAAAACCACTTGTGTCCCCCCATTGTGTGCGACAATGAGACAGACAAACAAACAATAATGTTTGATTTACTTTTAATCTCCGCCAACGTTGCCATTAAGTAATTGTGCATTTTACGTCCCCCTCTTGAGTGCATTTACGAGTAAGTGCATTCAGACGCGTCTTAACGGATGCAAACTTAAATGTTTTATGATGCTTTTTGAAATATAACCGTTTAGCCCCACTGCTGTTACTAAAACTGTCAAGTTAAGGTCCTCCTTATCTCAATAAATCCTCAATAAAAGATGATATTTTACTAACAAGCAGTAAGATGTTAGTAACTCTATACTAAATTATAAGCTGAAGAGATTGTTTAAACGCGCTAATCTTAGGAACTTCTGGTTCGAATTGTAAAATTGTTTTTGTGTTAGTTGAACCATTTATCGAGGATGGCTATAAAACTTGAGGCTGCAATCAATACGAGCATAAATAGAGAGGGAAATGTGGAAAAAAGGGGGAAATGATTCGACTTTGATTCCGTTGCGTGCGCTGCGGAAAATGATTGAAGAAACCAAAAATCTATGCATAAAAGAATGAATGAAGGATTATTCCACTTTAAATTAATATTTTCTCTCTTTTGTGATTACTCACAAGAACCGATTTTATAATGTAATCTAATTTAGTCGAAATACTTCATATGGTATGAAAACGTTTGCAAGGTCAACTAATATACAACATTATAGCCCTACAGCCTATAATAGACCTACAGCGCAAAATATAGATTCGCGTATAATCCACATTTGAAACTGTTAAGTGTGTTTTGTAGCGGTAGCGTAAACTACAAACTAAAGAATTTTTGGTTAAGTGTTTTGCTACCATATTAATTGTGTCGTAAAAACTGAAATTCAATATCACAAGGATAACATTGTTTTATATATTCACATTCGTTCGGTTCGACTCCCGTTTGTAAATCTGAAATTATTGTTTTAGTATTGTTCTAGTAAGGCAGATAGGTCGTTGGAAATTGAAGAGTGGCAAGTGTTTGGACTGATTAAAAGCACAAACACGGCTTCACTGACCCCTTGGTCTAATGGTAGCAATGTATAGCTAATAAACGGGTCGTGGGTTCGTTCCACCTGTTTCAAGAAATGTATTTCTTAAAAACATGGAATTTGTCCATGTCGATGGAACACAGATGGAAGCCGTCAAGTTTAATGGCGTTTCGT